CACACATAAACACACACACACACACACACACACACACACACACACACACAAAGAAAAACAAGTAGATAGAATAGGAAAAATTTAATAGAAAAATATAAATACATTTTTTTTTATAAAAAAAAAATAAGATAAAGTAGAATTAAAACAGAATACTTTTACTCATTATGACCTGAAAAGCATTTTTTTAAATTATGTTACAAATACAATGCTAACTACCTTAGGGTCAATGGCTGCATCCAAAAACCTAGCAGCTGCCCTTATCAGACAATGACTTTGCAGTCAGCGTTTTTGCACTAAACTGATTTCGGACAGGCTTCTGAGGCAGCGTAACGGTTTAATGAGCTACAAAATAGAACGAGTTTTAGTGATACCTAAATTAATATTTAATTACTATAATACTGATATCTCGCTAGAAATAACAAAAAGTGCAAAAAACTGACCACCGAACGCAACTTTCCGATGACATCTTTATTTTTTTAGCTCAACCAACACAGAATGAAACGCACAGGATTGTGGGATATCAAAGGCAGTGAAGGATACATCCACGCTGCCTTCAAAATTCAATCAAAAGAAGGTACCTTCGGAGACAGGAACTGTAGCAGAATTTGGATTCGGACGTGCATTGGTGCCTTCCTGCCTTGGCAGCATTTTAGAGCTTTTGGACACAGCCAATGTTGATGTTGTTAACAAAAACAAATCTAAAGCTATTTTATTAAAACGTTAAAAAATAAATAAATACAATTATTTAAAATAAAATATATATACTGTACATATTAGGTTAGGTTAAATTTAAAAAAAAATAATAAAATAAAATAAAGAAATAAATGCTGACCTGGCAAATAATCTAAATAACTAAATTATTGAGTTTTAGCTTTAATAAACAATTATTAACCAAGTTAAATAACTTTGACTAAAATTGCTAAAACTACATTAAATAGGAGTAAATAGAAATATAAAATGAGAAACAAATAAAAAATTAAAATGATAAAGAAAGTTAATTCAAAATATTAATATATACGATAATATATAAATATGACTAAAATAGCACTGATTTATATTGAAAGTTATATGGACTAATGTATATAAAAGTTATATAACAATTCACATCATATAATATGTGACCACTGGAAGAGCCCAAAAACGTGACAGTGTAACACATCAGAGTAAAGTGTCTCTGTCTCATTTTTACAGACAGAGCACCCTAGGCACAGATGAGACAACACCAGCACAAATACACACTCAAACACTGACATTTACACACAAAAACCAGTACAAATACACACAACACTTAGAATGGCAATAGAATGAACACATGATGTGGAGGATTGAACAGGTAAATATTCAAATATACAAAAACTTTAAAATTTTTCTGCCAAGCCATCTTTACCACATCATTTTGGAATTGTTGCAATTAAATCTTGCTTATTAACGACAATATGAAGAATTCTGCAATAGGATGATATTTTAAACACATACATTAAGTACTTAAATAATTATGTGCATGAGAATGAAACTTTTTACTGTCCCTCAAAAAAGGGAAGTGATCACAAGAGCTGCATTTACCGGTATTAAAATGAGTATTTATTTACAAGTTGTTATATTCACATCTGGCCATTCAGTTCCAACATGAATCAAGATGCAATCTGCATTTGCTTTTGAAACTTGTCTAAAAGTGCACTTACCCATAGCTCTGTCACCAAAATATCAGTGATGCTGCCGATAACAGACACAAAATCAAAAATATTCCAAGCGTCTCGGAAATAATTCTGCAGAGAAACAAAAGGAGACAGACAGACAAATGCATTAGAAAGCTGTTTGTCTTCTAAACCTTTTTCTAAACGGTTTAAAAGAAGAAAACATTAAAAAAATCTCAGGTCTAAATAAGAAACAGGACATCTTTAGGTGCAATGAGTAATTCTAGGAAGAGCTGGATGTATGAATGCGATTAGAGAGACTTACTCGGGGACCAAAGGCAATGATTTTCAGAACACACTCCATGAAGAAGAGTGTGGTGAACACTATATTCAGGTTCTTCAGGACTACATCATACGTCGAAGGGGCCCCATGATACTGGAAACGCACAGAGAAAATTCAGACCCTAACGGATGCACAAGGGCATTACTGATGCTATAGGAGGAAGAAGAAGCTTGTACCTTCATCATAAGGACAATGGTGTTGAGCGCAATGAGAGCCATGATACTGTACTCAAACGGAGGTGACACCACAAATTGCCACATTCGGTACTGAAAGCTTTGCTTGTTCTGAGGCATGTGGCGCGTTAGAGGTTTGGCATTTATAGCAAAATCAATACAGGCTCTCTAGAAGACAGAACAACAGAAAACAGTGAAAGAAGCATCTGATGTATCACATTGCGTGTTTGTTGCTGTGGAGAGAGAAGTGAATAGTAAAACTGTGGATTTCCTGTCTATAATGTGGCTAAATATAAAAAAAAAATATGAGAGCACAAATGTGACCAGCTGAATCACAGCTGCTTTTGACTCAGAAACACATTTATGGTTTATGTATATGAATTTGAAAAGTTTTCTTATGATATAATTATTGCTTCTTCTTCAAAACGTTGAGATATCTATCAATCTATCTTAGAGATATAAACTCTAAAAATGAGCAGATTACTAAAAATCGAAATATATTCTTCAATAATAGTAATATTTATAAATAAAATAATAGCAGTCTGCTACTTTCTAGAGTTTGTGATAAAAATGTCAATTTCACAAATGAAACTGTCAAAAATAACATAAAAGACAAAATAGCCAATAGTCAACTTTGTTTTGCTTATGATCACAAAATATTGGTTGAAATACCACTTTCTTAAAGGAATAGCATAGACAGCAACACAACTGAAATGTTTTATGGCCCAGAAAGGTTGTAAGAACATCGTTAAAATAGTCAATGTCACATCAGTGGTTCAACCGTAATGTTATGAAGCTACAAGAATACTTTTTGCATGCGAAGAAAACAAAAACAACCACTTTATTCAACTATTTCTTCTCTTCCATGTCAGTCTTCGACACAATCTTCTCGTAACTTCATAAAATTATGGTTGAACCACTGATGTCACATGGGCTATTATAGCGATGTCCTCACTACCTTTCTGGGCCTTAAACGTGGTAGTTGCGCTGCTGTCTATGCAGGGTCAGAAAGCTCTCGGATTTCATCAAAAATATTTAAATTGGTGTTTCGAAGATGAACAAAGGTCTTAAGGGTTTGGAACAACATAAGTAATTAATGACAGAAGTTTCATTTTTGGGTGAACTATCCTTTTAATTACATGAAACTATTTCTTATTGAACTACTTTTTAGCAATGAATAAAACTAAACTCTTGGGATGTACTATGGGATTGAAGGATTTATAAGATGTTGCCTTACATTTTGGTCTAAATTAGGCATGTTTGCTGGTTTACTCAAGTGAATAAATTTGCAAATACCTCATTCTTTTCGAGGCTGTAGTCCTCCATCATCTTGTCTCCTTGCTCCTGGAAAGTTATGATGATGAGAGCTACAAAGATGTTTACGAAGAAGAAGGGGAAGACAACGAAGTACACCACGTAAAAGATGGACATTTCCATCCGGTACCCCGGGCTCGGGCCCTGGTCCTCATAAGTGGAGTCCACAGAGTGCTTCAACACCCTTAAAGAGAAACGACAAAAAGAGGTGATGACATAAAAGGAGAGATAATAAGCCACTAGAGATTTGTGAGCATGTCAACTCACTGCGGCCATCCCTCTCCGGTGGACACAGTAAAGAGAGTAAGCAGGGCCCAAAGCACGTTGTCATAGTGGAAATCGTACTTCTTCCACTTCCGCTCCTGCGATTTTACCTCGTTATTGCGCTCATACACCAAATATTCGCCCCTGAAACAAAAACACATATTAACAATTCAGCAATCAGGCTTTTTTTCTTAAGGATGGGTGAGTATACATCTATTATTGTGGACAATGTTGCCACATTCATGTCAATTTTGGAAAACTTGTACATGCAAAATTTCCATTTTTGACATTTGACTGCCAGTGTAAACTAAAAGAAATCACAAATCTTTCATTGCAAGTCATCTCCACGTACCTGCAGTCACGGGCAAACTCTTTGGATTCGTCAGTGCAGTAGAAGAATCGTCCCTTAAAAAGCTGCACGGCCACCACAGCGAAGATGAACATGAACAGCATGTAGACAATGAGGATGTTCAACACGTTCTTCAGAGAGTTCACTACACAGTCAAACACCGCCTGGGAGAAAGACACATGAGTATAGCACGCTAACTTGACTAAAAAAACAAGATGGTGCGATAACACGTAACAGAGCTGTGTGTGCGACTTTGACAATACTTTTAGTTTGGGAAGACGTTTGATGGTCTTGAGTGGACGTAGCACCCTTAGGACCCTCAGAGACTTGATGACACTGATGTCTTTCCCCTTACTGCTCCCCCTGTGGATTGGAAGCAAACAGCAGGACATCAACATGCTGCATGGTGAGACATAAAGAGAGATAAGGACTTCTTGAAAGACCTTCTTCAACACATTTCACTTCTAGACCATTCCTTGGGCTTCCACTTGCTCTTATTGTAGAAGATAGTTTCAATATCACCATGCAACAGTTAATACCACAGTATCTATCATGTATTAGACTTATTTTTGTGGAATGTTTATCATCAAAAATCTTTTTTTTCTTTAAGCAAGTCTTCAGATTCACAACCATCGTAAGGTTTCGGTCACTCGTTACCTTCTGTGGGCATTCCAAAATCATAACACATTCATGTAAGTTTCAAAACTGTCAGGCATTTTCCGGTGCAATGCCCAGCCAAACCTCTTTCTTTCTTTTTTGGTTTTTAGCTGTGTTAGAGCAGACAGGGGAATGGAGGTCTGGGATATGGAGGCTGTTTGTGTTAATCGTAGGTAAAATGACAAGACTGAGGGTTCACTGAGATGCAGAAGGCTAGCGGACTTGAGTCCAACTGTATCTTGTCCCTAGAAGAACTTGAGGAAGCTCAAACCAGGAGACCAAGACAAGTTACAAGGACATTTCATTGCATTCAAGAAAAGAACTGTCGATAAACCTCCTGCCTCTAAAGCACATTTGGATTTTTACAAGATATTCAAGAAATGCTGGCCATTTTGAAGGATTTTGAACTGGCCATTTTGAAGAACTTAATGTTTAGCATCACATTGGCCAAAGTCTGTCTACACTGGATGCATCAAGTTGCTTATTCCAAAATATTTACTAACGTGGACCAATGGAGTGTAAGCTCAAGATTATATATATATATATATATATATATATATATATATATATTGAATGGGCTGTATTAAAATAATAATAAATATGACATTAAATAAGTTATATAAAAAAGAAATAAATGAATGAATGAATAAATAAGGGTTAATAATTAGGTTATTTAAATATATAACTAATAAAATTCGGAGAAAGGGTTATTTTATTCCAAGGGTTATTTTAGAATAAAAATTTAATTAATTACTATTTATTTATCCAGAATTAAAAAGTGATGGATAAATAAATAGTGAATCTGATAATAGTTTATTAATGAGATTATTTAAATACATAACTAATCAAATTAATAATAATAAATGCAGGGCTCATTTCAGAATTAAAAAAAAAACAATAAACAAATAAATATTGAGGTTAATAATGTGTTTATAATGAGGCTATTTAAATACAGAAATAAAGTAAAAATATAAATAGAGGTATTTTACTTTAGATAGATGGCTGGAGCAGTAAAAAAATAAAAGTGTCTATCAATGAAATCCACAACTGGTACTTCTAGAGTATAGTGTTATGTTAGTCACATCTCGCGCCTTATGCGCCCAGTGTAGACAGTGTTAGCTGTCAAGGACGAATCCTTATTGACCCCATGATCAATCTTGTGAATGTGGCAGAGGTATATTTTTAAGTATTTACACAGGTCCCAAACACAAACAGAGAACTCTTCAATCAAGCGGCCAAGACAGCTGTCTTTAACTATGAACTTCCAGGCAAGTCCCAGCTGAAGACCGGCCAGCTCATGGCAGATTGATTGTGTCGGAGCATTGGAAAAGGTCCAGGTTACCAATAATCAATTAGTCGCTCCTGACTGTGCTCAGAGAGAGTTGTGCAGTACCGTAAGCAGCGTGCAAAAAGTGTGATCTCTTCTGTAACATTGTGTTCAGTTGTTTAGGTCCACAGACGGACCCTTTAGAACCAATGTAAGTCACGGCAGAATAAAACAAGCAGTGGAATGGAGAGAACCAGAGTAGATGAGCAAAGAGGAAGGGAGGATGGTTGGGAGGGAAAAAGAAAGAAAGAGAGAGAAGCCATCACGTGAGCTGGACGGTAGCCGTGCGACAATAAGGAGTGGAGACTTTACCGAGAGAGGCTCCTGTTGGTCACCAAGGTGTAGACATAAGAGAGGGTCAGAGACAGACAGCGGAAGAAAGAAAAAGACAGAAAAGAGAGGAATACACACAACACCGAAAAAACAGAAAGAGAGACAGAAAAAGAAACAAGATACTGGGAGTGGCTTGGCAGAGGAACAACATCAATATGAGAGACAGACAGACAGACAGACAGACAGAGAAAAAGGACCACGCAAAAAAACCTAAGCGAATGATTTAAAGAGTTGAAAGCCCCCATGTTCAGATATTTAAAAGTACAAACCAAACTAAATTAAAGATGCACTAAGCAGTGTTTTCCACCTCTGACTAATATGTCAAATTCAAATTATTGCAGGTTTGATCACAGTTGACAAATATGGTTGAATTGGTCTTCAAAAACAACTGCTTTTGGGTGATTTGTGTAATGTGATCCAGTAGGTGTCAATATTGAAACTTTGCTTAATGCGTCTTTAAATCATCTATTCAAAAAATTGTATAGACATACATATATAATATAATTGACCATTGCTGAGCACCACCTACTTGATTACTCTTATCCGCTCACATACTCTAAACAAAATGAAAAAGATTTTCATGAGAAGCATTTTTACTAAACTGTGCAGTAAAAACTTAAATGATATCATCCGTCCACATATGATTCTTTGCATATTTGTTTAAAATTGTCTGTAAACTGTTGTAGTGTAACAGTTGCTGAGGCAGATTGGCCAGTAATGCTAGGGAGGGGCTTAGTAAAGGGTCAATTAGTTTTAAATCCAGACAGAATCCTTAAAATGTTTGAAAGTTTTTGAGAGGTCTGATAAGAATACGTAGTATACAGATCTGAGATGAGATCATATCTATCTGTTTATTTCATAACCAAGCTCATTATCTGAGAAAAGATCAGCACTTACCACTGTAGTGTTACATAGTGAGTACTGAGCATCTGATATCTCTTCTAGAAAGTCTATTTGTTGCCTATGCACACTTATTTTTAATCTGGATGCAAGATTGTACTGTACACGAATACTAATATGCCCTGATTTTGTGTGTATGTACACACACACACACACACACACACACGTTTGGATCAGTATACCAACCTAAAAGACTTTCAAAAACATTAAAATATCTTATAAGATGTTTTAATGTTTTTGAAAGTCTTATATGTTCACCATGTTTTTTGGTCAAAAATACAGTTAAAACAGTAACACTGTGAAACATCAACATTTAAAATAACTAATGTTTTCTATTTTAATATATTTAAAATTTTAATTATTTATTAATTTAAATACAACTTTTTTTGTAACATCATAAAGGTCTTAACTGTCTCTTTTGAACAATGTACTGCATCTTTGCTGAATATAAGTATTATTTCTTTAAAAAAAGAACAGTAGTGTATATATACTTCATTAATTATATTACACATAATATAATATATGCTGTTAAATGTATATAAATGATTATATACACAATATTAAATACCCTGTTAAATTTATATAGTTAAGAGAAATAAAATCAAAATGTGCTGATCTGTTGATCAAATTTAGCTGCTTTATTAGTGATTAACTCATGCTCGCAATTGCTACATACATAGGGGAGAGCGGGGCACAAAGTAACACTTTTTGACTTTCTCAAATTGTGTAAATCCACATGGGGTTCAGAGTATAATTTTTTTATCCACAGTAATTTCACACTTGTCTAGTACGAATATGTCGCTTTGTTTCATAATTACAGTGTATACATTTTTCGTTATTTACCCTCAAAAATTGGAAGTTAAATGTGATAACATGCCCCGTAGGTGGGGTACATTGTAACATCTGAGGGGCACGCTGTAACATGACCATAAGACAGCTTAAAATGTTATCTGAGCGCATTAAAAAAATATACAAGGCAAACTAAAATATTTTGTCAATAAAATAAAATAATTATTTATTTCAAATAAAATAATGGCGTTTTTTAAGAATTAAAAATAATCTGATTTTGGAGTTTGACAGCGCACACATTGCAGCCATGCTTGGGACGGCCCACATAAACGAGCCAAAATGCTTTACATGTCTTGAAATAATCATTTCTTAACATTTAACATTGGCTGTCAAGTCTTTATTCACCCGCTTCTCGTCATTTATCATTAAAATGTATTAAAGTAAATAGTGTGAATTACATCGCTAATGTCATAGAATAGCACGGCAGGGCACATTGTAACGCAGTGTTACAACATACTCCATCTGCGCAACTGGAATTTAAAACTGGTTACTGTCTTCTGATAGTTAGCGAAGCATTAAAAAATAATTTAAACTGATAAATAACAGATTGTAGATTAAAATAATAGCAGATTTGTCTCATTTTAAATGAGCAATAAAAATTGAGATGAAAAATTGACCTAAGCCAGAAATATAATTTTACTATGGTAAAATAAATGTTCAGCGATATCTTCAAAAGACTTTTGAATTTTGGTGCACTTTTATTCTCTATATAATGTTGATATAGTAACTAGTAAATGCTGTAAATTTGGTTATGCTAGCATGTGTGGAAATATTTAAACCACGTGTGTTACAACTTCCCCCGCGTTGCTTTGTGCCCCGCACTCCCCTACACCTGAGTCTGCTGCTCTTTTTCATATTGACTCTGACAGAATCCTTCTCATACACTAATGCCTGCCAGGTATTTGGCAGGTCTTTACTCTTGGCCTATACCCAGTCAATAACTGAGGATTCAAACTTGTTACACTTATAGATTAGGACAACCCACTGCAGTAGAGGAGAATCCTCCGTCTGCCATGCCAACTCTGAAAGCAGGGGAGATTCTCGACACCATAGCACACTGTATCAGACACTCGAGCAGGAATGGAGGTGGAATCCATAACTGACTGCAGTGGAGCCAAAATGGCCACCACACTGCAGTCGCCTCAAGGTGGCAGTGTGGGATGGTATTTGTTTCAGTAACTCTCAAGCAGCACATACAGTCCTCAACCCAAATCTACAGCGGTTATTGGGTTACATGCTTCTCAGCTATTTGTATTGACTTCATTCTAAGAATGAAGGTGGCAAAAGCATGATCATTTGTTGAGTCGTTTTGTTCTTATTGTGAAACTGTAATACATGAGCAAGCCTTTTCTCCACCTAACCAAGGTATTCTGGGTAATCTGAGATGCGTGTGTGTCATGTGACCATGCCTATACCCAGAATGCATCCATTTAGAAAGTATCAGGCAGTGGAGAGAATAAAAATTGTTCACCCAAAAATAAATTCACCCTCATGTTGCATCAAACCTGCATATTGTTAGTTTTAGCATGTGACAAAATAAAGACTTTAAAAAATGTACAGGTTTGAAACAATATGGCAGTGAGTAAATAATCACATGTAATAATGAAAGGGCATAACCTTTCATTTCATGTGTGTGTGAGTGCGAGAGAGAGAATGAGATAAACAACAACAGATGAAGGACAACAGATGAACGAACGTCAAAAACACCAGTTAATAAGGAGCAACTGTCAACCTGGAGTCCTCTTTTCTTGTATTCCATTTTCCTTAACATATCCTTCTATATCTCTTGTTCTCTCTATCTCTCCACATCTCTTGTGGTCTCTCTTTTTCGCTCACTTTGTCAGACTCAACAAATGGAGGCCCAAATGATAAACAGCTGGAGTCTGTCCAAGGAAGCTTAGTGCTGATGGAGGGAGAGGAGAGGAGAGGAAAGATGAGGAAAGGAAAGGTGAAGGGGATAGGATGGGGAAGAACTGTTTTTAGGAATGAGAACAGGAAGTGACACAGGACAGAAATAGGGTTGATATGGTGGAGAGGCTTCATTTAGTTTCAGGTCAGGGGATGGGGATGAAAATTGGGCACTGCGTGTGGAGTGATTTTAACTCAAAGCAGGGTTTAAATCTATCGGGAAGATACAAGCTGATAGGTTTCACTACAGGCATTCAGCTAACACATAGTCATTCATATCAGCATACTATGTGGCTTCTTTTTGCTAATATTTCAATAAGTACAGAAAAAAGTTTGATCAAATCATTAGTGTCTTATATCAATAAATAATATGAATGAATTTATTAAATAAAATCAATACAATACTGTTCAAAAAGTTGGAGAATGTCACATTTTTTAATGTTTTGGAAAGAAATCTATTAAGCTCAACAAGCCTGCATTGATTTGATTAAAATACAATAATTATATGCAATTTAAAATAAACCGGATTTTCAGCATTATTTGATGAATAAAAGTTCTAAAAAACAGCATTTATTTGAAACAGAAATATTTTGTAACATTATAAATGTCTTTACTGTAATTTGTGATCTATTTAATGCTTCCGTGTTGAATAAAAATATGAATTTCTTAAAATAAACTGATCCCAAACTTTTGAACAGTAATGTATATATTAATATATTGTTTAAAAATACAATAATTAGCTTCAAATATTAAATTTGAGCCCACTCTATGTATGATGATAGTTTGACTGATGTAAATAATCATGGCCACATTCCTCAGTCTCCAAAGTCAATGTTGCGTTTAAAGGAGTTTGGATAGCAAAGTGTTAAAGACAAAGCATTTTGACAAACAGTGAAGCAAATGACAGCTTAAGACAAGGTTACTGGTTAGATAGAAATGCAAAAAGTTAAAAATGTATCATATAATAATAATAATAATAATCATAGTAATAATATATTACATTCAGTAACTTGCAAGTGGATTGCCTTTAAGGTAAAGCAAGCTCGAGAAATTGCATAATGCATAAGTAAAATCGTAACAGTTCTGAAACTGTTCATGAGATATTTATTTACCTAAATCTTTTTTTTTTTTAAATAATGCCACTAAATATTAATATCAGCATACGTACATTCTAATCCCTTATTTAGAAGTGTGCAGACACTTTTAATGCCACAAGTGTTACAGTATGTCATTTAAGACACTCCCCACATACAGAAAAACGTGTCTTGTATATACACATATATGTAATCTGGCCTACGGGACTGAGGAGGATGTACTAGATCATACATGCAGGGCTAAACAAAAGAAAAAATCATTCCACGCTCAGAGCCTCATCAGCGGTGTTTACTCGTTCTCCTTTTTTAGTGACTAGCTGATGGTCCCGCTCTAGGGTTCAGCTTTATTCCTCAAGCGGCCTCTTTATATCCCCAAGCTGCTGCTCCCCCAGGTCATGCAAAGGAAAGAAACCAGAGTACCTGTGGCAGGACGGGCTCACGCTGATCCAGACATGGAAACCGCCTGGGCACTAAAGGGCTACAGGTGCCTGGAGACCCCTCACCCCCCACAGAGCCCCAAAGGGCTCAAAACTACCCTTTTCAGCAGAGGGAAAGTGTGAGGGGACAGGTTTATGGTGAACATTTGGTTGGTGGAGTAATGACAGATGGAAAAGAGCCCTGACACTCCAACAAATCAAATATTTGCTTGTTTAACCACTTTTAGAGATTATTATAAACGTTTTTTTTTAATTAAAAATTCAACTAAAACTAACTAACATTCTACTAAATAAATAAATGTATTAGTAAATGTTTTTCTGTTTCAAATTTTGTGCATCGGTAGAGTTTCAAAAAAATTAAAATAAATAAAATAGATTTATTAGTAAAAGTAGATTAGATTTATTTAAAAGTAGTTTACATATTAGGTGTCATGGAATTTCTAAAAAAATAATAATAATAAATAAATAAATTGATTTAGTAGTAAAAGTAGATTGGATTTAGATTAGATTTTCTTATATACTTCTCCCGAATTTCCTTTGGAGAAATTAAAAATAGACACAAATAAGAAAATTACTCGCATATAAAATTAATGTGCGATAAAATATATGTCGATGTTATAGATCAAATAATTTGGCCTTGGAAGAATTTGATGAGAATTTGAAATATTTGAGATGGTATTGAAATCTCGAACTGTGATATCATGTGAAAACTAAGCACAGCTTGCGACAATGTTAAGATTTCTTCAGAAAATTATATGTGAGATTAGTGGTCTTTTAGTCATAAATCTGAGACACAAATCTGAGATTTGAGCAGCATTCTCCATTTGTTATCCCATTTCTGCCTAGGAAAAACAATTGATATATCACTAAGATTCCATTTGTGCTTTTGTTGGTTTTATTGTTTCAGAGAAATACTGAAAGAGTTCATGTATTGACGGAAATCATGGTTAAAGAATGAAAGGAAAGGTGCTTTGACAAACTGTTTAGCACAAAGAAGAAGGACTGAGCATGAGATAAAATACAAGATGAATGAAGTCGGGCAGAAGTTGTGTGCATCATATAGAGTTAATAGCTGCATTTCCATCCACCTATTTTTATGCACATTTTGGAATATCGCATTAAAAAACGCTGGATGGAAACACCAAGATAAGCCAAGAAAAACTTATGCGCACATTTGAGTAGGATAAACTTTTTATTCGATAAGAAAAAATGCGCATAAACTACGATGTAAACACTTTTACCGAATAAATTCCTCCATGCGCATCAAAAAAGTCATGTGCTATGAGACGGGATAACTTGACTAGCAGCGGACCGATCTCGTTCACAGCATCTATATATTGTTATGGTCATTCTGAAATGCCTGAACAAAGTCTGTCATCAAAGTATTTCTGTATAATTGTCTTACAGTACTGCGTTCCCAAACAGCAGCATCCACCTCCGAAAGCATTGACAGCATTTAATGTGTTACGCCTGCTCATACTGAGGTGAAAGTAATTTATATCATATATGAAAATTATTATATTCAGTGGCTTCTCCTACAGTTTACCAGGAAGTGACTATTTTGTTCTCTTTGACTCATTGGATGGAAATGGTGCTTTATTCACATATGTTTTAAGCGATATTCCAGTTTTGTGCATAAGTTTAATTCGAATCTTTGGATGGAAACATAGCTAATGGCAGGAGTTGGATGGGAAAGAAATAGAGGCGTTATCAAGAAGAAAGCTGGGGGAGTTGATTGGTCAGAGAGAGAATAGAAACAGACAGGCTGGTGCTGACAGAAATTTTGATGTGTGTGTTTGTGTGAGTGTGTGCAAAGTGAGAAAGGCCTTCATCTTTGTGGCTGATTGAGTGAGACAGAATGCAAAGTGACAAAAAATAGAGATAGAGAGCTTAGAAGAAGGGCACACAGTGCTGACAGGAGAAGAAAAGAGGAAGAGACCAAGAGAGAAAGGGGTAGAGAGTACTGGCGAGGCTCCAGGTTGGCAGTGGGGTAACAAGGTGGCAGAAGAGATGATAAGGGGCAGCAGGCAGCACTTCTGGGCAGGAAATGATGGGATAAAGGGCACTTACGTGAAGGCAAAGGCTACCAGGGCACCACTAACCACTACAAAGTCCAGAAAGTTCCACAAGTCACGAAAATATGAGCCCTCATGCAAAACCAAGCCTAACACCACCATCTGGAACACAGAGCAGAGGATTAAAGCAAATAAAGAAAATGATATGCTAAAACACAACCCCACAAGTCATTTCCTGCAAACTTTACCTTGATGAGCATCTCAAAGGTGAACACACCAGTGAAGACGTAGTCAAAGTAACGCAATACCTGGAAAACATGAAGAAAATGCATCAAGAAGTCCGGCGTCAGATTTTTTTTAGTTTCACGTTATGCAAATCCATTAAAATTACTTGAGAACAGTATTCTTACATTGTTTCGAGGTGATTCCGGCCACACCGGATCTTCCGCAGCTAAAGCAATGCTGCTCATAGCGATGACTGACAGAATACACATCTCGAAATAACGTAGCGTCAGGATGTAATGACAACATCTTCGAAACCTGAAAACTCACATTGGTTAAGATAAATACATTTACTTTGCACATATGCACTTATACAGATGAACACACACTTACGGGTTGGTTGTGGATAGGATGAAACAGGAACTGAACGGAGGAATGGGTTTGGGGCCATCTTCATCACCACCATTGTCTTCCTCCTCCTCTTTCTTCTCTCCTCCTTTAGCTGGCTCTGTGTTGGCATTCTTGTTCACTGCACAATGAAGGGAACGTGGGAAGAAGGAGGTGCACAGAAGTCCACAAAAGTAATCAAATATCAAACAGTACAACATTTGCTTTTACAGTCAAACACGCATAAATGCATTGTAAGGCCAAAGTATACTTCGGTTATTACATGTACGTGAGGGTGTGCATACAGTGCGTGTGACGCAAATTTAGTCACCAGAATAGTAGTCGCATACTGTATGCACACCATCCAATTTTTAGCGTATATGTTAAACATGAGAATGAATACATTTCTATTGTCTATAAGTATTTTGGGTGAATAATGCCATTAAAAATTCCTAGAATTATCTGTAATCACACATGTACATATTTGTCCCTCACCTTGCAGTTTGGCATTGAATGAGGGGTAAATCGGTGGCATATCTATGGCAGTGTGGTCAAGTTTGCTGGGGGTTTTGGTGCAGTCAGTCAGAATGAGACTGCTGTCATGGAAATCTGGTCCACGCAGGTTCAGCAGGTTATTGGCCTGCTCTGGGTCACAGTCGGGGTCATAAAAGTCGGGGTCAGGGTCGTGGATGGCCATCTTGCTGCTATTTCGCAGGTTGTCCAGATCCTCGCTGTACTGGCTCTCTGCATGAGGAAGGCCTGGCTGAATTGGACGAGCTGTTGATAAACTAAAATAAAAAAAATAAAAAAAGTAAGAGGTTATCAGCTGAAACAACAGTTACAGTTAGCTGTATCAAGCCACATTTTTAGTAAAATAATTTTATAGTATTTATTAATATTGTGAATTAGTATTTGTTTTAAATTTTAGTTTTTATTTAAATTTTTGTTAAATGTTCAGTTATTTTGTCGTTTATTTAAAAAAATTTAAATGTCTGTTCTATTTTAGTTTGTTATACTGTACATTATATATTAGTACATCAATGAAAACTTGGCAACTAACTGAAATAAAATAGTTTTATGTCACGTTTTTTTATGGTTTTAGTTTCAGCTAATGATAATAACCCTGATTCTTCTGAGAATGTTTGGATCAGGAACTGAATGTAGCAACACAAAAAAATCAGTGGGTCGATTAATTTAGAAGATTCATGTAAATGATTCACTGATCAAATAAACGATTCACCCATTCACCTCAGTTCTTTAAGTCCCTGCACAGTTTTGAAGAAACACAGAACACTCACTTTCTAGCTCGATGCTGTCGACTCCGTTCTCTATCTCTCCTTCCATCTCCATCCCCATGGTTTCCATGGCGATGCCTCCTCTGCCTCTTCTCTTGGCCCTCCTCCCCTTCTCCTCCTGTCTCCCCTCTGCTGTGGTGTTCTCTGTGTCTTCTCCCTCCATCCTCGTCCTTTCTTCTGTGCTGGTGGTGTCGGGGTCGCCTGTGTTCCTCTGCGCAATCCATGTCCTCGCCTCCTTTCTGGGCACAATCGCAGCCTGCCTCCCCCAGCTCTGGGTGGTGTAGGGATTGGTGGCTGGAGTGGTGGTGGTGGTGTTGGTGATGATGATGACTGTGATGGTGGTGGTATCGGGACTGGTGCTGCAGGTATTCTTCACCCCGCTGCTGGTTTAGCTCCTGGGGGTTTGGTTCACCCGGTCGGGGCTTGTTGGTATTGTTGTTGCGGTTCTCCTGAGGATTAACTACTAGTGGGCGGTCCAAGTGGGTCTTCATGTCAGGACGGTTGTGGTAGTTCATCTAAAAACAGAAAAAGCAGATTTGGTCAATACATCTAGGCTTAACAGAAACATAATTTGATGCAAACCTGCTTTTTGTAAACTGGGAAATCACTGAGATAAATTATGGTTGATATGAAAATTATTTACATAAAGTTATTAAAATTGTATATTATTTTGTCTGAATGAAAAATAAAACACTAAAACTAAAACAAATCTTTTCAGCAATAGTTTTTTTTGGTTTCTCGAAAAAAGTATGCTCACCAAGGCTGCATTTATGACTGTAAAACAGTAATATTATGAAATATCATTACAAATTAAAAAAAAGTTTTTTATTTTTATTTTAAAACTATATTTTAAAATGTAATTTATTCCTGTGATGGCAAATCTGGAATTTCAGCAGCCATTACTCCATAACTTCAGTGTCACATGATCGTTCAGAAATTATTCTAATATACAATAATTTTCTTATTATTTAGTATTATTTCCTATAATTTTAATATGATAGTTTAAGCAGGGTGTGCTGCTTAAACAATTTTGTGGAAACAGTGATAATTTTTTCCCTCAGGATTCTTTGATGAATAGAAAGGTCAAAAGAACAGCATTTATTTGCAATAATGTAGAAGTCATGAAAATACATGACTTCAGTACATGAAAATGCAACAATTAAATAATAATTTTGTACTTTTGATGTGGGTGAAGGTCTTTTGCTTGTTTATTTTTTTATGTTTTAATATTTAGTTGCTCTTTATTGTTAGTATTATAGTTTTCAGTAAAATAGTGCTCTACACAAGAAATACAACATAGTTGCTCTTCATTTGTGATCTATGATATGTATCTGACCTTCCAGTGATCTTCTGCATCAAGTTCATTGTAAAGCGCCTCTCTGCTGGTCATCAGGTTCTGTCTGCGCATCTCACTTGTGCGCTGCTCCCACACTGACTTGGAAACCTTTGAGTTCTTCTGCTGCTCTTTACTACAGAGTAAAGAAATACAGAGAGACAGAAACAGAACAATTTTAACCCAGGGACAAAGACAAGCCTTGCTTTTCCTCCCCTAAAGCATCTATGAGTGATGGCCCAAAGTGAAAGGAAATGATAGTGTCCCTTAGTCCCCAGCAAGAGAGCATGGATGTGGCTCATGAATTCTGTGAAAGGAGTGATGACATACTGAACAACAGCACTGAGAAATGTTCAGACAGACAGATAGGAAGAGAGGAAGACGGAGATGGTTTGAGACCACAACAGCGAAACAAGCACAGATGGGCCTAAGATTCATCCAAAAAACAAAAATGTATTCATCCTCATGTTGTCATAAATCTGTATGGCTTTCTTTCTTCTGCAGAACATACAAAAAAGAAAAGAAAGATACAAGAAAGAGTGTTTCAAAATTGTGAAAACTCTTTTTGCCCTTGGAATGAAATAGAAAGAGATACAAAAAAACCCACTGGACTATTGAGATTTATTGTATATAAAAAAAAAGAAAGAAAAAAAAAAGGGTTTTTCATTTTTAGGTGAACTGTCCCTTCCCTTTAAATGCACCTAGAATTTTCTGTAATCACACATGCACATGCTCGTCCCTCACCTTGTAACTTGGCGTTGAATGAGGGGTAAATCGGAGGCATATCTATGGCAGTGTGGTCAAGTTTGCTGGGGGTTTTGGTGCAGTCAGTCAGAATGAGACTGCTGTCATGGAAATCTGGTCCACGCAGGTTCAGCAGGTTATTGGCCTGCTCTGGGTCACAGTCGGGGTCATAAAAGTCGGGGTCAGGGTCGTGGATGGCCATCTTGCTGCTATTTCGCAGGTTGTCCAGATCCTCGCTGTACTGGCTCTCTGCATGAGGAAGGCCTGGCTGAATTGGACGAGCTGTTGATAAACTAAAATAAAAAAAATAAAAAAAGTAAGAGGTTATCAGCTGAAACAACAGTTACAGTTAGCTGTATCAAGCCACATTTTTAGTAAAATAATTTTATAGTATTTATTAATATTGTGAATTAGTATTTGTTTTAAATTTTAGTTTTTATTTAAATTTTTGTTAAATGTTCAGTTATTTTGTCGTTTATTTAAAAAAATTTAAATGTCTGTTCTATTTTAGTTTGTTATACTGTACATTATATATTAGTACATCAATGAAAACTTGGCAACTAACTGAAATAAAATAGTTTTATGTCACGTTTTTTTATGGTTTTAGTTTCAGCTAATGATAATAACCCTGATTCTTCTGAGAATGTTTGGATCAGGAACTGAATGTAGCAACACAAAAAAATCAGTGGGTCGATTAATTTAGAAGATTCATGTAAATGATTCACTGATCAAATAAACGATTCACCCATTCACCTCAGTTCTTTAAGTCCCTGCACAGTTTTGAAGAAACACAGAACACTCACTTTCTAGCTCGATGCTGTCGACTCCGTTCTCTATCTCTCCTTCCATCTCCATCCCCATGGTTTCCATGGCGATGCCTCCTCTGCCTCTTCTCTTGGCCCTCCTCCCCTTCTCCTCCTGTCTCCCCTCTGCTGTGGTGTTCTCTGTGTCTTCTCCCTCCATCCTCGTCCTTTCTTCTGTGCTGGTGGTGTCGGGGTCGCCTGTGTTCCTCTGCGCAATCCATGTCCTCGCCTCCTTTCTGGGCACAATCGCAGCCTGCCTCCCCCAGCTCTGGGTGGTGTAGGGATTGGTGGCTGGAGTGGTGGTGGTGGTGTTGGTGATGATGATGACTGTGATGGTGGTGGTATCGGGACTGGTGCTGCAGGTATTCTTCACCCCGCTGCTGGTTTAGCTCCTGGGGGTTTGGTTCACCCGGTCGGGGCTTGTTGGTATTGTTGTTGCGGTTCTCCTGAGGATTAACTACTAGTGGGCGGTCCAAGTGGGTCTTCATGTCAGGACGGTTGTGGTAGTTCATCTAAAAACAGAAAAAGCAGATTTGGTCAATACATCTAGGCTTAACAGAAACATAATTTGATGCAAACCTGCTTTTTGTAAACTGGGAAATCACTGAGATAAATTATGGTTGATATGAAAATTATTTACATAAAGTTATTAAAATTGTATATTATTTTGTCTGAATGAAAAATAAAACACTAAAACTAAAACAAATCTTTTCAGCAATAGTTTTTTTTGGTTTCTCGAAAAAAGTATGCTCACCAAGGCTGCATTTATGACTGTAAAACAGTAATATTATGAAATATCATTACAAATTAAAAAAAAGTTTTTTATTTTTATTTTAAAACTATATTTTAAAATGTAATTTATTCCTGTGATGGCAAATCTGGAATTTCAGCAGCCATTACTCCATAACTTCAGTGTCACATGATCTTTCAGAAATTATTCTAATATACAATAATTTCTTATTATTTAGTATTATTTCCTATAATTTTAATATGATAGTTTAAGCAGGGTGTGCTGCCAAAAACAATTTTGTGGAAACAGTGATCATTTTTTCCCTCAGGATTCTTTGATGAATAGAAAGGTCAAAAGAACAGCATTTATTTGCAATAATGTAGAAGTCATGAAAATACATGACTTCAGTACATGAAAATGCAACAATTAAATAATAATTTTGTACTTTTGATGTGGGTGAAGGTCTTTTGCTTGTTTATTTTTTTATGTTTTAATATTTAGTTGCTCTTTATTGTTAGTATTATAGTTTTCAGTAAAATAGTGCTCTACACAAGAAATACAACATCGTTGCTCTTCATTTGTGATCTATGATATGTCTCTGACCTTCCAGTGATCTTCTGCATCAAGTTCATTGTAAAGCGCCTCTCTGCTGGTCATCAGGTTCTGTCTGCGCATCTCACTTGTGCGCTGCTCCCACACTGACTTGGAAACCTTTGAGTTCTTCTGCTGCTCTTTACTACAGAGTAAAGAAATACAGAGAGACAGAAACAGAACAATTTTAACCCAGGGACAAAGACAAGCCTTGCTTTTCCTCCCCTAAAGCATCTATGAGTGATGGCCCAAAGTGAAAGGAAATGATAGTGTCCCTTAGTCCCCAGCAAGAGAGCATGGATGTGGCTCATGAATTCTGTGAAAGGAGTGATGACATACTGAACAACAGCACTGAGAAATGTTCAGACAGACAGATAGGAAGAGAGGAAGACGGAGATGGTTTGAGACCACAACAGCGAAACAAGCAGCCCTGTGCTTGCAGTGCTGCTGTGGAAGAGACAGTGTGTGTCATCACAGCCAATGATACCTCAGCCTCAGTGTTACAACATAAAACTGCAGCTACAGCAGCTGGAAACATAAAAACACTCATACAAAAACATGAGGAAGGCAGAAAGCAAAAGAAATAGGGATACAGAACAAAAAAAATGAGTAAGTAAATGAATAAATACCAGTCCAGTAAACTGTCTGTGGCATCGATACGTTCAGATTTTACTGTAACTCTGAGGAGAGGGGGGTGAAACAAGGAACATAAAAACAACGCTGCCACAACTATCACAGAAAACAACTGACAAAGTGAACAGGTGTCCTGTTCACTGATAGCGACTCGCTTGGTCAGTCAGATAAGTTTATGGATGACTTGGAATTAACCGGATAACTTTGCTTTTCGAAACAAGCTTCCAGGGTGAAATATTTCACTTCTTAAACCTATTTGCTGGCAGACTAACCAAATTCCGGGTTTGTGCCAAGTTATCCCAAAACTTGACTAACCATGTAAGTACCAGATTTTGTTTACTCACTAAACAGCTTTACTATAAATGTCTAACACCATGTCCTAACCAGAGTAAATAAAGTGACAACAGTAAAATCTCAGGTATGAAGTAACAAAAGGGGGCAATGATGAAACGGAAAGTATCCCCAGCTATACGTAAAGTGGCTCATTCTCCATTTGTGAGGTAAACAAACCTATTATTTCTACAACTATAAAACTAAACTAAAAACTAAAGCTACTGAGCAACTTACAGATAGTAGAGCTCTGAATAATGTTACTACTATATAAAACAAAAATTGCCCAGGCCAATATATTTGAAAATTAGACAGGATATCCATGAAATAAACACATTTTAGACCACCAGATATAAATACAGCTTATATGCATAGATTCGGCCCATTTAACAGACGCATCATTTTAAGTTATAACAGCCTGAACTGGCGATAAACAATAATAATTCAGTGAAATAATCTAAACAGTTAAAATTACAACCAATTATCTAGACCTCTAAACATGTATTAAAAAAAATAATCATACTCAGTGGAGCTGCATAATTTGTGGCATGGGAAGTTCAACGTAACACAGCTTAATGTGTAAAATGTTCCACTTAAAATGAGACTTTCTGAAACAGACTCTCCTTAACTAAAATCTTGCTATAGTAACCTAATATCACTGCTTGAAAGCCAATGCACTTGGAAACTGTGATTCTTTATTATTATTTTTTAAAATAGTTTTCACATTCATCTTGGACTGAGGGGGCAGGTGTGTTTGACATCAAATATATTCTGCTTGATTGTGGTACATTATGCAGCATTTTTGCTTTCAGAATTGAAAGATGAAATGTATTGCTGGAAAATCGCTGCATTATGCCTGGTTAAGTCACAGTGTAAGTATTAGCTGATTGTACTATACATACATACACAACAAAATAAAAACATTACTGACCAATTCCTGTAACAGAATGATGAATTAAACGAGGAATCAAATTCCTTATTGCATCACATACAAAACCACAAATGGCATACAGATACCACACATTCAACCGTAGTTCAACTTCAAATTTACCTCATGCCTTTAAAACACAAATTTTCACTTGGTACTTTTTGTTCTTTTTTGGGGTTTGACAGCACCTGTTTGATGTGTGCTTTACAACTGTAAGGAAAAGAGCTGCTTAGTCCTGCAAAATACCTATTTTTGCATTCTTAGCAAGAAAATAAAATCATATGGATCTGGAACAACAAAGTATGTTGTTTTCATTTTTGAGTGAACTATCCCTTTAACAACAGAAATAGAAATGGTCCTAAGGGGGTTACATACTGTATGATCAGGCAGGTTTAAGCAAGTCTGCTGAAAAGTGAATTAAGAGTGGATTTACTTAAATACGATGATAAAGTTAAGCTGACAGACTATGCTAAACTCAGCTAAGCTAGGCAAGAAGTATTTAAACCAGCTATGGTACCAAATCAAATTTATGTGACATAAGACATGGCCTCTTACAATAAAAAAGTTAAAGTGTGAACTATATTATGTCTGTTTCAGGTATTAGGGCTCATTTGCATATATATGCATATTCATGGTATTTACATGTCCCTGAGTGTCAGAGGTGTCTTGTAAGAATTTCACTTTTTGATAGTGAATATTTATGGAAAACTGGGTATGGCTTCATTGCTATGGTGTGTTTCTGAACAAGCTATTACTTTTGGGCAAAAAACTGGCGCTAGTGGCTCGAAGGTGGTAAAGGTGCTGATTGTTAGCGTGTAGAGTAACTCACGCAGCAATAGATAGGTTTGCAGCAGACAGTGGGCTCACTTCCGCCACTTCTTTTGCTTTCTGGAGAGCAATCTTTTGTGTTGTGGCCTCCTCTTCCTCCTGTTCATCCTATAAATAAAAAAAACATACAGCAGTGACAGCCGCTAACCATTGTTGGGCATAAAAAAAATAAAAAATTGCATGAAATTTACATGAGACAGAGAAACTGTTTAACCTTAGTTAGTTCCTGAGCATTGGCCAGGTTGTCCACAGCGATAGCCAAGAACACATTCAGTAGTGTGTCTGAGAGGTTATAGTTAAGAAAATTTTTAGAAAGACAATGCTTGTGTTTTATAATGTGTGTCTTACTGTGACCCCATCACGAGTGGACAGCGCTAAATAAACATGACTGGATCTCTCAAATCACATTCAAATGTAGTTGAAAATGAATAGTACAAAGTGTGCTTGTTATTAACATGCAGTGACAAATTCATCATTACACAACTTCATGTAGGTAAAGAAAAGTGCAAGTATATTTTGAAGAAATAATGTGTTACTCTTTTCCCCACACTATTTTATATATATTTTTTTTTAAAGAAATTAATACTAATATTGAACAAGGACGCATTAACTTGATTTCAAAGAAATCCTTTGTACTTTCTATTCATCAAAGAATCCTGAAAAAAAATATATCACAACTTCCACAAAAATATTAAGCAGCATTGATGAATGTTGATAATAAATGAATGTTTTTTTAGCCTCAAAACAGCATATTAGAATAATTTCTGAAGGATCATGTGACATTGAAGACTGGAGTAATGGCTAGCTTTGCCATCTCAGAATTTTTAATTTTGAAATATTTTAAAATAGAAAACTGATATTGTAATAATCCTTAAAAATTACTGTTTTACTGAATTTATAATCAAATAAATGCAGTAGCATTTATAGTAATGAAAATACTTGTATGTTTCTGTGTGGTTAAGAAGGATACAGTTGCCAAAGAGTGTAAGGACAATGAAGAATATGGAGAAGACCATTCCTTTGTCCACCCCTCCCTGAGACTTAATGCCGTCATACATCACTACGTTCCAATCCTCTCCGGTTAGAATCTGAGAAATACACAGTCTATTTTAACACACAAAACAGAACTGCATGCATATTTGATCCTCACACACAAGCTCATTTAAGTAGAATAAGCTGTTTTCTTTATCTGTATATGCCCTAAAATACTGTCTATGCAGGCAGCTCACTTGGTTTTTAGAACAGATCTACTGCTAAACCAACATAACCAGCCTACCTGAAACACTGTCATTATGGCAGCAGGGAAAGTATCGAAGTTTGTTGGAGGAGTGCCTAGCTCAAAGTTAAACCTGGAAAAAAAGAAAACATCAAATGGCCAAACATGCTATGCATAGTTATTGGTCATCTGTATCTAACAGATGATATTAAGTAAGGTGTTGGCAGCCGGGTGTAGATCTATACTGACTGTCCACCGAACAGCTGCATCCCGAGAAGAGCAAAGACCACGATGAAGAGGAAGAGAAGGAAAAGTAAACTGATGATGGACTTCATGGAGCTTAGAAGAGACACTACTAGATTACGCAAAGACGCCCAGTATCTAAAAAAATAGAAAGAAAGAAAGAAACCTAGTATTAAAAACACTAAAATTGTGGCATTTTTATACAAATGGTACACACAAAAATGAAAATGAAAAATGAGAGCACATTGCTTAGATTTGCAGATTTTTCTTCACACAAACCTATCGTATGGCTTTAGAAGACATGAAATATAATTTTTGGACCACTGCTTCATTATGTTTTTTGTTATTTTTAGAGCTTGACAGCCCCAGTCTCCATTGACTTTCACTATGGAAAAGAGCAGCATGAACATTGTGTATAACATTTTTTTCCACAAGTATGGAATGATGTGAGGTTGAGAAATTAATTTTTGTTTGAACTGTTCTTTTAATCTAAACAAGCCCCACTAAAAAGCAGCATTGTAATCTCATTGATCCCAAAAGGAGGACAACACAAAAACTGACAAAACTTTGTGATGACGACGCAGAGATTAAATTAAACGCACTTGGTGACTTTGAAGATCCTAAGTAGTCGGAGAGCTCGCAACACACTGATTCCAAAGGACGCCCCCGGCTTCACCATGGCCCAGACCACCTCAAATATGCTGCCAACGATGACCTGAAACACGCACACAGCCAAATCCCAAAACAAATAAGGAACACTCTGGCTAACAAGGACTTAAGTCTGCATCTAATGTAGGTCAGCGGCTTGCAGAGGTTAAAAACAGAGGCAGAGTAAAAAAAGCAAAAGAGAGAGAGAAAGTGAGACTTTAAATGGGCCAAAAGAGAGAAGGGCACTCACTGCACAGTCGAAACAGTTGAATGAGGAGTGGAAATAAGGGCGCGTCCCCAGTCCGTACATCTTAATCAGCATCTCTGACATAAAGAGGCCTAGGAAAATGAACTCAGCATAATCTGGAGAAAAAGAGAAAGAGAGACAAGACATATAAAGTGGAATAAAAGGAAACAGAAGCGAGGCAGGAAGGTGTTTACTGACAGCTGAAGTAGAAAAATCCAAAAAACTATTTGCAAATGGAGAATGAGACAGGATGCAGACCAGATTCAAAATTATGTCTCCCACAACAACAAACGTAAAAACAAACAGCTTAGGTTAACTCACAGAGGAAGTCCGACAGTAGCTCGGGCTGATCGTAGTGTACTACAGCCACGCACAGTGTGTTGAGTCCCACCAGGCTGAGGACAGTCCAGTAGAACGCCTGAGTCTTTACAATCTTTCGAATGATGAAGCGAAGACGTCGCTCTTTCTTGCTAAATCCGGTCCCATCGCCCTTTATGCTCCCACGAGCAAAAGGCGAGCCTAAGAATATACACACATAGCAGCACAACATCTGGCATGAATACTATAGGATCTTCAAGAATAAGCCACCATGTGTTTCAAAAGACAGAAACATTTTAATTCATCAAACGAGTTGTCTTCCTTAGGATCTGAATGATTCTTACCAACCGCGTCTCCCATGTGGTCCTCTCCCTCTTCTGGATTTAACAGGTCAGCTTTGTTTTTCTTTATGGTGGGCCTACGACGAGATCCTGCACACAAACACATTCACTGTGAATGATTACTGCATTAAATAGCAACAGCACCAAACAGGAACATTTATACTGTTACCGGTGCCATCATCGTCCTCGGCGAGTATGACTTCCTCTGTAAGAAGTGACAAGAGAGAGATTGATTGATAGACTAGATTTTAACACCAACAGGTTCAAACTAGTCATTACAATTCTGCAGGGAATTAATATCTATACTTGTGTTTGTGTTGTGTTATGTTACACACATACCTGCTTTGCAGATCCACTCCAGATATCCGTTGAGCTCTCTCTCAATCTGCTGCTGACGTTTGAGCTTGAGGAACTCACTCCTGTTCTCCACACGCTCTCTTTCTTTGGCAAACTCACTTGGGGGCGGGGTGGTGGGGTAAGACAGACAAATAAAGACAGACAGGCAGACAGAAAGACACCTGTATAGTCAGCAACTTACTAATCAAAAACTTATTTACATACTTTGTTTTATACAAATGAAAGATGGATGAAACAATAGATAGAACAAATGAAACAAAGATAGAAAGAAAGATATAATTATGCAACAATAAATAGGTAGAGAGATGGATAGAACAACAAACAATATACAGATAGAACAGGAACAAAGAACGGCCAATAGAGCGACAGATAAAATAATCAACAAAACCATAAAATAATGACAGAATGACTGACAGAAGAAGAGATCAATAAATTGACTGACGGAACAAATGATAGCCAGATAGACAGACAGACAGATAGACAGACAGACAGACAGACAGACAGACAGACAGATAGACAGATAGATAGATAGATAGATAGATAGATAGATAGATAGATAGATAGATAGATAGATAGATAGATAGATAGATAGATAGGGTGATATGACTAAAATCTTATTTCACGGTATGAGAAATTTATTTCAACTTACAAATTACAAAAAAATTTGACAAATACAATGGAACAAAGATACAAATTAAATAAACTAAGATGTTCAGCTACAGTTGGTTTAACATAGTAAGAAATACTAAAAAAAAAAATCAAGCATATAACTAAAACACTAAAGTGTCTTCATTGAATGAATCAAATTTGAACTGTGTTTATGTGAATACTCCCCACATCGGGCATTTTGACAAAATTGTGTGTGTATCTGACTATTAGAGCGCAATAAGATGTGAAAGAGAACTAAATTCGTGATTACATGCTGTCAGAGAGTTCGCTTTCACAGCTTATTGCATTAATAACTCTAACATCAAACAAGTACCGCTTTTTATTTTCTAATTCTTGCACGAACACTCACGTGTATATAACTTGTATATAACTTTAAGTAGTAGGCTACTGTGCTACATGTATAGATTTATATACCGCAAAACAATATAGCAAAATCTCTAACAGTAGGCACTTTATACCGTCGTCACAATATATACCTTCATACTGCCCAGCCCTACAGACAGACAGATAGACAGATAGATAGATAGATAGATAGATAGATAGATAGATAGATAGATAGATAGATAGATAGATAGATAGATAGAAACAGACAGAAATATAGATAGATCTTACCCCGAGAGGACACCCAACACCAGATCTTAATCAGCATCTCTGACATAAAGAGGCCTAGGAAAATGAACTCAGCATAATCTGGAGAAAAAGAGAAAGAGAGACAAGACATATAAAGTGGAATAAAAGGAAACAGAAGCGAGGCAGGAAGGTGTTTACTGACAGCTGAAGTAGAAAAATCCAAAAAACTATTTGCAAATGGAGAATGAGACAGGATGCAGACCAGATTCAAAATTATGTCTCCCACAACAACAAACGTAAAAACAAACAGCTTAGGTTAACTCACAGAGGAAGTCCGACAGTAGCTCGGGCTGATCGTAGTGTACTACAGCCACGCACAGTGTGTTGAGTCCCACCAGGCTGAGGACAGTCCAGTAGAACGCCTGAGTCTTTACAATCTTTCGAATGATGAAGCGAAGACGTCGCTCTTTCTTGCTAAATCCGGTCCCATCGCCCTTTATGCTCCCACGAGCAAAAGGCGAGCCTAAGAATATACACACATAGCAGCACAACATCTGGCATGAATACTATAGGATCTTCAAGAATAAGCCACCATGTGTTTCAAAAGACAGAAACATTTTAATTCATCAAACGAGTTGTCTTCCTTAGGATCTGAATGATTCTTACCAACCGCGTCTCCCATGTGGTCCTCTCCCTCTTCTGGATTTAACAGGTCAGCTTTGTTTTTCTTTATGGTGGGCCTACGACGAGATCCTGCACACAAACACATTCACTGTGAATGATTACTGCATTAAATAGCAACAGCACCAAACAGGAACATTTATACTGTTACCGGTGCCATCATCGTCCTCGGCGAGTATGACTTCCTCTGTAAGAAGTGACAAGAGAGAGATTGATTGATAGACTAGATTTTAACACCAACAGGTTCAAACTAGTCATTACAATTCTGCAGGGAATTAATATCTATACTTGTGTTTGTGTTGTGTTATGTTACACACATACCTGCTTTGCAGATCCACTCCAGATATCCGTTGAGCTCTCTCTCAATCTGCTGCTGACGTTTGAGCTTGAGGAACTCACTCCTGTTCTCCACACGCTCTCTTTCTTTGGCAAACTCACTTGGGGGCGGGGTGGTGGGGTAAGACAGACAAATAAAGACAGACAGGCAGACAGAAAGACACCTGTATAGTCAGCAACTTACTAATCAAAAACTTATTTACATACTTTGTTTTATACAAATGAAAGATGGATGAAACAATAGATAGAACAAATGAAACAAAGATAGAAAGAAAGATATAATTATGCAACAATAAATAGGTAGAGAGATGGATAGAACAACAAACAATATACAGATAGAACAGGAACAAAGAACGGCCAATAGAGCGACAGATAAAATAATCAACAAAACCATAAAATAATGACAGAATGACTGACAGAAGAAGAGATCAATAAATTGACTGACGGAACAAATGATAGCCAGATAGACAGACAGACAGATAGACAGACAGACAGACAGACAGACAGACAGACAGACAGACAGATAGACAGATAGATAGATAGATAGATAGATAGATAGATAGATAGATAGATAGATAGGGTGATATGACTAAAATCTTATTTCACGGTATGAGAAATTTATTTCAACTTACAAATTACAAAAAAATTTGACAAATACAATGGAACAAAGATACAAATTAAATAAACTAAGATGTTCAGCTACAGTTGGTTTAACATAGTAAGAAATACTAAAAAAAAAAATCAAGCATATAACTAAAACACTAAAGTGTCTTCATTGAATGAATCAAATTTGAACTGTGTTTATGTGAATACTCCCCACATCGGGCATTTTGACAAAATTGTGTGTGTATCTGACTATTAGAGCGCAATAAGATGTGAAAGAGAACTAAATTCGTGATTACATGCTGTCAGAGAGTTCGCTTTCACAGCTTATTGCATTAATAACTCTAACATCAAACAAGTACCGCTTTTTATTTTCTAATTCTTGCACGAACACTCACGTGTATATAACTTGTATATAACTTTAAGTAGTAGGCTACTGTGCTACATGTATAGATTTATATACCGCAAAACAATATAGCAAAATCTCTAACAGTAGGCACTTTATACCGTCGTCACAATATATACCTTCATACTGCCCAGCCCTACAGACAGACAGATAGACAGATAGATAGATAGATAGATAGATAGATAGATAGATAGATAGATAGATAGATAGATAGATAGATAGATAGAAACAGACAGAAATATAGATAGATCTTACCCCGAGAGGACACCCAACACCAGATTTAGCATGAAGAAGGATCCAATGATGATGAGGGGAACATAGTACATCCAGTTCCAGGCACTCCCTAAGGCATCATTGCTCTGTAATACACCCACGTTTACCCAACATTATCATCTAAAATCAAAGTCATTTTAGAAATCATTTTAAAAAACAGAATAGTTTAATCATAGTTTAATCATCGCCTTTAACTCTTACATAATAAAGCATGTCAGTCCAACCCTCCATGGTGATGCACTGGAAAACAGTGAGCACGGCAAAAAGGACGTTGTCGAACTGTGTGATGCCATAGTTTGGCCCAAGCCAGTATTCAGCACACACCGACCCTTTCTCACACTCTCGAGCGGGAAATTCCTCACCACAGGGCTGTTCATCAAACATCTCACCTGGATTATGTAAATGCACAGGGTTTGGTAAAAGGCATACAATTTTAAAGGGTCAACTGTTTTTCGTTTGTCTTTGAGACAAGCTCACCTGTGACATTGTCGAAACAGGTGCGGTGGAATTTGCCCATGTAGAACTCCAGGCCAATGATGGCAAACATAAGGATGGCCACAAATAAGAGCACTCCGATTTGCAGCAGTGGAATCATAGCCTTCATAATAGACTTTAGCACCACCTGCAGGCCTGGAGAGTAATGGCACTATTGTATACTGTGCAAAGAACTCTGACAGACATTGATAAACTCAGACAGAGAGAACACTTACTTGGAATTCCTGACACCAATTTTAGCGGCCGCAACACTCTGACAGCTCGCAATGTCCGCAGGTCTAATTCTGACCCAATAGAGGACAGGATACTGGAGGAAAAACAGAAAGAAAGGAGGCAATTTTATTGTGTGCCATTAAAGCCATTTATACAACAGCAGATTTAATCTATATTCTGCTCTTCCGTTTGTATAAAGCCATTTGTGTATCAGCAATTTTTGGCCAAATTAGGACATCTCCACGTGTCCTGTGAAAGGTACATTGTCATTTATCTACAGCAAAGTACAGTCACAAGCAGACACATTATTCTGAGATGTGGTCAATCGCAGGTAAATAATTGATCAGACACTACTCTGTTCTCACATCACACACTGGTCTGATCATCTGATCTTTAAATGTGAGTGTGTGTGTGTGTGCATGCTACACTCTAAAAAATGCTGGGTTGTTTCAACCCAATGTTGGATCAAATAAAATTAAATTTTGGTTACATTTTTTAATTAACTTTTTAACCCAACAGTTGGGTTAGTCCATATTTGACCCAACATTGGGTTGAAACAACCCAGCATTTTTTAGAGTGTATATTTGGTCAGGGTGCTGCTCTTCTAATTTATTCAAATGTATTTAAATATTGTATTAAAACTGAAAACAAATACACACTTAAAACAAACATATATACATCCTGTTATATAATTTTAAAAGTAAAATTACATTTCTTTATAATTAGTTTATAATAATATAATCTATATAAAAAACATATATCCTATTTTTTATATACAGTGGGGAAAAAAAGTATTTAGTCAGCCACCAATTGTGCAAGTTCTCCCACTTAAAAAGATGAGAGAGGCCTGTATTAGACGGGCCTGGACATGTACTGGCTTAAGCAGGGGGACACGTCTGTCACTGCAGGATTTGAGTCCCTGGCGGCGCAGTGTGTTACTGATGGTAGCCTTTGTTACTTTGGTCCCAGCTCTCTGCAGGTCATTCACTAGTTCCCCCCGTGTGGTTCTGGGATTTTTGCTCACAGTTCTTGTGATCATTTTGACCCCACGGGGTGAGATCTTGCGTGGAGCCCCAGATCGAGGGAGATTATCAGTGGTCTTGTGTGTCTTCCATTTTCTAATAATTGCTCCCACAGTTGATTTCTTCACACCAAGCTGCTTACCTATTGCCGATTCAGTCTTCCCAGCCTGGTGCAGGTCTACAATTTTGTTTCTGGTGTCCTTTGACAGCTCTTTGGTCTTGGCCATGGTGGAGTGTGGAGTGTGACTGTTTGAGGTTGTGGACAGGTGTCTTTTATACTGACAACGAGTTCAAACAGATGCCATTAATACAGGTAACGAGTGGAGGACAGAGGAGCCTCTTAAAGAAGAAGTTACAGGTCTGTGAGAGCCAGAAATCTTGCTTGTTTGTAGGTGACCAAATACTTATTTTACCGAGGAATTTACCAATTAATTCTTTAAAAATCCTACAATGTGATTTTCTGGATTTTTTTTTTCTCATTTTGTCTCTCATAGTTGAGGTATACCTATGATGAAAATTACAGGCCTCTCTCATCTTTTTAAGTGGGAGAACTTGCACAATTGGTGGCTGACTAAATACTTTTTTGCCCCACTGTATACACTCAGTATTGACAGAAAATGATGTCCATCTGTAATTAATTTTTTTTTTAGAAATGACACTGAATTGAGTATGAAGCCGTTTATCTCACTCTTTCCGTCACTTTTTCACTCCCTTCCACTGTTGCCTGCATATGCAGCGATGCCAATGTTGCTAAGAGCTCATTCATTAGTGGTTATGATATACAGTTCCAGCCAATGGCTCAGTCAATAGGCCTAAAACTGCCCTGCCATCACATGCAGCAAACACCTACGTAAGCTAAAAGAAAAGAGAAAGAATGGATGGACTTGTGCGAGACTGGACAGAATGCAGCAAACTCGTCTCCCGACTCGTTCATTAATGTCTTCTGCTTTTTCAGCTCTTCCTCTTAAGCCGTTCAATTGGCAGGAACATTGTGACTAATTCGATCAATGATCAGAATCATATTAGTTATT